TTCCCTCAGTTATCTTCAATTGTTCTGAAGCACAAGACCTTTCCAACCACTGTAGATATGGACAAAGAAGAAAGAAAGACTATCAACCAGGGTCAAGAAGATGAAATGGTAAAACCAGCTTTTATAATATACTTATAAAGTGTGAAGAATTTATATTTCTAGGGAAGTAGAAAAGTATATTTAAAAAACTGCTAAACTAAAATACAATAAAACAACAGCTAAATCAGTGTGCTGTTGTCTTTCTGACTGTGTTTTTGAGTTGGGATTATGTAACACCTCTGGTTCCAGTATAGTTCCTGTTTCATTTGTGAACTGTTAAAACTTAGAGGAAAGAGATATGTTTTTTCATTTGATAATTTAAGAAGTTACATTAGCTAATGCTTAAATATATCCCAAATGCAAAATTTCTAATTTTCCATTTATAAAAAATGTTTAAAGTCAGCTTAATAAAACTCAAGTCTTTGTTGGTGGTATGTGCGGGGAAAGATAGGGTTCTCACTTTGAAATTTACCTCTCATGTCCCTTGATGTGTAATCACTATGTCCATGCAGGAGATTTATGGCTATAATTTGTGTCGCTGGAAGCTTGCCATAGTTTCTCTTGGAGTGGTGTGTACTGGCGGCTTTCTTCTCCTGCTCCTCTATTGGATGCCCGAATGGCGGGTAAAGGCAACCTGTATTAGAGCTGCAGTTAAAGACTGTGAAGTGGTGCTGCTGAGGACTACTGTAAGTCCACGTGTTTACTTGTAGCTGATTATTTGAGGAGTAAAATAATGTCTTTGTGTGTATTCAGAATAAAATACGAAGAGAACATCACTGCTAGGATACAATGAGGAATACTAATCCTAGTATTTCTAAAGCATCTGTGTTTGAAGTGACTATTATCCCAGTGATTAGACTTTAAAGGAATCTTAAAAATGATCACATCTACCCTTTTTTATAGTTCTTGATGCACTGAGAGATTGGATCAGTGGTTTGTCTCTCAAGGTCTCTTGACAGGACTGTATCCCAGATCTCTTCTACTGTGCGATGCTGTTGCACCCTAGGATTTGTTTTAAAATCCTAATTGGAAGCATTTTATAAGAGGCTTTAATATCTAGTCTCAGTATATAGTTGGATAAATTAAGAAATTATGATCTTTTATGAGATCCTCTCAGTGAAGTACGACATATAAAATGGTGAGCAGTTGAAAGCACTTCATGTTTGAATTTATGCATCTTCGTATTTCGAAATGGTTTAACATTTAGTGAGTGGAAAGTGAGACTTTCTCAATTAGAGATAAGTAAATAATATATTGTGTAAAGAATGGAAACCAAATATATATGGTTATGTAATATGCATAATTGACTCTTTATCCTTATTCCTTTCTCTTCTAAGGATGAATTCAGAATGTGGTTTTGTGCAAAAATTCGCTTTCTTTCTCTGGAAACTCCCGCATTTTCAAGCCCAAAATCTATGGCTATTAAGGTTTCAAATGGCCATGCAGTTCACTTAACTGAAAATCTGGCTGAAGAGAATAGGCTTGAGATGAATAAATATTCACAGCCTCAGTCACAACAGGTATTGTGATCTTAGTCTCAGAGTTCCTTTAAGAACCAGAATTGTTACATTTTATACTATTACTGATAGTCTATAATTTTGTACTTGCAGGTTTTTTTGTTTGAGATTATATGCATATAAAATGCCTATTTATCATTGTATATAACAGTTTAGTTATTTACTAGAAGAAATAGATTACATGTCACATGTGATTGCTTTAATTTTAATAGTTGTTACACTATATGCTAAATATGTGTTAGTAAACTTAATTGTTAACAAGTGATAATAATGCTTTTTGATGTAACCTTTATGTATGTTCTACAGATTCGTTATTTCACCCACCATAGTGTAAAATACTTCTGGAATGATACCCTTCACAATTTTGTTTTCTTAAAGTACGTACTTTTCTTTTGTTTGGATTATGAGTATTTGATAGTGTTTTAGCTAGAAAAGAATTCATTTTAGTGTTACATAAAATTTACATAAAAGTTAGAAGCAGTATGCTCCCAAAATCCAGTCTGAGTCCTTTTCTTTTTGAGGATTCATCTAAAGTGGAGAAAGCATGGTGGTATTAAGTCACTGAATCATTCAACTAGTTATATTGGAATTTGGTTCATGTTTCAGAACTTAGTAAGCAGAAAATGTTTACAGTACATAAATTCCTAAAAACGATATTGCGCTTTTGAAATTAATTTTTTTTTCCCCCCCGCGGTACGTGGGCCTCTCACTGTTGTGGCCTTTCCCGTCGTGGAGCACAGGCTCCGGACGCGCAGGCTCAGTGGCCATGGCTCACGGGCCCAGTTGCTTCGCGGCATGTGGGATCTTCCCGGACCAGGGCACGAACCCGTGTCCCCTGCATTGGCAGGTGGACTCTCAACCACTGCGCCACCAGGGAAGCCCTGAGTATACATTTTAGTCTGTCAGTTCTTTTTCTTTTTGAGGGTTCATCTCAAAGTGAATTTCTAGTGTACCTTTTAGCCTGTCAGAGTATCTGAATTATCACCTCTCAATTTCCTGACAGTTCCACCCACTTGTACTTGAGGGGTGGAGTGATAGACAAACATAAATTTCACTTTAATATGTGGATAAAGATGGGACATCATCAATCAAGTTAAGCCTTGGGTAGCACATATTGGAATAATCCTTTAAAATTTATTTTTTGTGGAGGCTTCAAATGATATAAGTACTAAATTAACTAGGATTCTATTTTTATTGCTGTTAAAGTGATTATTATAAACACTCGTTAAGTATCGTTGCTTGAGAGTGGCAAAGGAATTCTTAATATTAGCAATAAAAAAAGAATCACCTTGTGAACATTTAAAATGTTCATGACTGGATTTTGTTCCTCAGACACTAAAGAATTGGTATATTCTGGAATGGAGCAGGGCAATTCCACATGCCTACTTCTGAAGATAATTCCTAGTTAAGAACCATTGATTTCTTTATAGAACACGGGCTATAAACTGTCATTTTGTTTTTTTAAAAAATTTTGACTTGGAGCTGATCCCTGCTACTTTTGGAGAAGTAATCAATCTCAGTGGGAAAAAGGAGTCAAACATATTTGCTGTGTAGCCTTTGCCAACCACACCAACTTGTAGAATTTAAACTTATCCCAGTGGTAGCAGCTAATCATGGGGCTTGGTTTTTCTATCTGAAAAAAGTAGAAAAGGATTGGAGTTAAATGATGTGTTATATTCTCTTTAGAGTTTTTCTGAATAGTATCTCAGTTAAGATAAGCATAATTAAGACATTTGTGGCAGAAAGTAGATATGCTAGTTGAATCCCAGTTTTAATTCTTACAGATTTTAGACATTGCCTGTGAACCATACAGATTCAGCACTTCTCTTCTCAGTATGTATTAGATGAGGGAAGGATTTAGATTGATGCTTTTGTAGAAAGAAAAATGAGTAGGACTTCTTAGAGTGAAACTTAAAAATTGAAGAGGGAAAACTAGATAAAAAGTAAAAACTTTTTCATCTTTAGTTTGGAATTCTTGAGTTAGTCATACTTTAATTTTATTAATTATTAGCTCTTACAACTTTGGCACAAACTTAAAGGATAATAATATTGTTACATAAGCTTGAGTATTGAGAGCCATCTTATTATGTGACACGTTGGATAATTTAGAAGTTGCCACATTTGAGACTTAGACCTTTCATTATTGTTTTATCTTAGGAATTGGAGATGTAAAAATTCTCATCCATATCTCAGTTTTTGTTAGGGGTTTCTATTTGTAAGGAAGTCACACTTTGAAACCAGGAATATAGAAAAATGAGGCATTGAGAAATTTGGATATTTTAAACTTTGTTTAAAGTAAAAACTTTGGATTTATTTAGGGGACTGGATGAAGGTGTTTCTTGTACGTCAATTTATGAAAAGCATAGTGCAGGACTGACAAAGGGGATGCATGCCTACAGGTAATTTTTATCCAACTAAAGTTAGACCTATTATCAAAATTCCTAAATAAAGTAGTATATATAGTCTACCCTTTTACCATGTAGTTGTAATATTAACAGGTATTTAAGTATTGTAGTAGTTGACAACTTATTGATATTTTATTTGGGTAGCATTGTCTCTCAGTTTAAGAATTATAAAAATGTTGAAGCTGATTTTGAAGTGAATATCCCTGATAATATACTGTATTTCATCAGTTCTAAGGTGCACACTTCCCTGCATTTTAACATCTCTGTAAGGAGGGTGTGTCATACAGTGGGTGGAGTGTCATCCTTTACTTGACAGCATTTTTATCTTTCTTGATAGTATATAAAATCATGGGATGTCTTACAATTCAAATCTTAGATTTACTGAAATGTTGGGAATTGTAAGCATGAGCTCAAATTTACCACAATGAAAATTTGTAAATTGGGAGACATAATCCTTTTTATAGTGTTATTCTTTGCTAAAGTATAAAAGTATACCAGTGTATTACATATCGTAGAGATAAATGCCTTTTTCAAACTACACTAGAAATTTTCTTGTACTCCTATAGCATGTTCTTTCAAAGGGTTGGAATATAAATTCATTCATTCAGGCTTCTATTTCATAAAAGGCAAAAATTAATGTATCATATAGGAAGTACTATTATAAGGAATTTAAGTGGAAGGTTTTAAGCAACTTAAGCATTAAAAAAAGCCAAATGTATAATGTTTTGAAATAAACATTTTTAGTACAGTATTCTTATTAGAAAAATAGTACAAGACCCCTCAAATTTACTTACGTAGTCTCTTGCAAAAATTAATTGCAATTCAAAATTGTTGAGATGTATTGTGTTCATGGGTGGAAAAGAAAGTCTTTTGTTGATATGGTTATTATAGACTAGTGGGAAAGGTACTTGTCACACAAAAAGATAAAGTGATAACAGTATAGTTATCCAGTATGGACTACATTGATTTAAATACTGTAGATAGAGAGTTTAAATTGTAGAAGACAACTGTTTAGAAACATGAACGTTTAAGTTCTGGATTTAAGGAGCAGTTGGTGGTTTGAGCCTTATCTAATGCAGTGCCTTCCCTAAATTGTTATTATGATATAATATAATGTAATATTATTATCATTGTATTTTCCTGTTATAGAAAATTGCTTTATGGAGTAAATGAAATTGCTGTGAAAGTGCCTTCAGTTTTTAAGCTTCTAATTAAGGAGGTAAGACAATTGTACTTGTCTCAACATTTGTGATCAATAGGTTTGTCAATTGAAAAGAGCCAGGATTTAAGTAATGATATCCTTGGTGTTTTGTTTCCTAACTTCTCTTTGCTTATTTTTTTACTTGGAAGGGCAGAAAGATATTCCTCTGATAGATCAGTAATTTGGGAGCATGATTACGTTTTTATTTTGTCTAATTTTTTTCTTTTCGAAGTCTGTAGTTTTTTTTTTTTTTTTTACTCTCAGGAAGTTGCACATCTAAACCTTGCCCTATTTTACAGATGTATACACCTGTCTTTTCTTTTTTCCCCGCTAATTCTTTTGGCCGCGCTGTGTGGCATGTGGGATCTTAGTTCGCTGACCAGGGGTCGAACCTGTGCCCTCTGCAGTGGAAGTGTGGAGTCTTGACCACTGGACGACCAGGGAAATCCCTCCTCCTAATTTTAAAAACGATTAATCATGTTTTCTTCAGGTGGTACACTCTTAGGAACTAGGCATTGTGCCAGAAGTTTGGAATTAAAAACATGACATGATGAGTAACAATGAGGAGCTTGCACTTTAGCCCAGGAATAATACATGTCAGTAGTTACTGTGGTGACCCTTCAGTTATAAGAGCCGTAGAAGCGGTGGAAATGAGGGATTGCAGGCATGTAAAGGAAGGAGTAAGTGGTTTTGCCAAGGAGAGTTGGGCTCTCCAGTCTTCTTTCTGGTTTGGGGCTAAAGTATAGAATTAGCTGTATTGAGTGAATACTTTTAGTAGAAGGTACAGATTGTTTTCCGTCAGTTCCTGAGAGTGGCCATATAATGCTGCTTTAGAGCATAGCAAAGTGTAGTGATTAGGAATTAGAAACACTGGTTTATAATGTGACTTCATCAGTAACTAGCTTTGGTCATTAGAAGACCTTTCTCCCTGCTGCTCCTTTTTTGGTAAAATTGTAGGAAATCCTTTAATGATCTCATTTGATTTTTTTTTTAAGGGAACTTTTATTTATTTATTTAATTGATTTATTTATGGCTGCTTTGGGTCTTTCGTTGCTGCGCAGGCTTTCTTTAGTTGCAGTGAGCGGGGACTGCTCTTCATTGCGGTATGTGGGTTTCTCATTACAATGGATTCTCTTGTTGCGGAGCACAGGCTCTAGACACGTGGGCTTCAGTAGTTGTGGCTCATGGGCTCTAGAGTGCAGGCTGAGTAGTTGTGGCGCACGGGCTTAGTTGCTCCGCGGCATGTGGGGTCTTCCCGGACCAGAGCTCGAACCCGTGTCCCCCTGCATTGGCAGGCGGATTCTTAGCCACTGGGCCACCAGGGAAGCCCGTCTCATTTGATATTGAAGTAAAATGGGACTATATATGTGAAAGTGCTTTAAAAAGTACAGAAGCATCAATTTTAAAACATTGGGGGGTTATTAATGAAATTGGTAAAATACTATAAAATTTGGGTAAACAAAATCCATTGCCAGGACTCCTTATCTTTTTTTTTATTCAGATTTTAATACTTAATCATTTCCTTAGAGAAAGCAAAACAGTGTAACTTATTTCATGTTTGTCTTCTCTTTGGACTCCAATGAACCTTTGACTTATAAGTAAATTAGTGCTTCGAGTTCATAATAAGTAAACGTTTGTTCCAGTTGGTTAAAAGTTTTTGTATCCTTTAGCAGCACAGTAATTATTGAAAGTAAATGTATTTTATTGCTAAAGCAGAATGAAGAACAGCTAAATTCACACATGTTAGCTGTTTCTAGCTGAATCTGTATTTGGGTTTGGTATGAACCTAAATGGATGCAAATAAATTAAGCTTATTTAGTCAAACTCTAGTAGTTTGATGGTAAAAAAAAAAAAAAAGTAACATCTTGCCCTGCTCTTTGGGTAGTTACTTCTTACCGTAGGATACTACAGAGCTTATCCTGTAAGTATCCTGTTGGTTATTTCTTAAATCTGTATGCTTATAAATATCTCATTCAGTTTGACTTAAAAATCTTGTTTTTTAGGTTCTCAACCCATTTTACATTTTCCAGCTGTTCAGTGTTATACTGTGGAGCACAGATGAATACTATTATTATGCTATAGCCATCGTGATTATGTCTGTAGTATCAATTATAAGCTCCCTATATGCCATTAGAAAGGTAAGTCCAATTTATTATGGATTTCACAAATGTGTTTGTATTTTGTAATAACACGTAAGGTGTGTAGAATGATACTTGGTGTCAAGTAAGTACTCCATACAGTTATTCTTTTAGTTATGTGAATATGTACTCCCTTTCCCTCTTTTTTGAGGTGGGGGAAGGCAGCTGCTTTTTAAGAGTCAACGTATCGCTTGACTACTTTGAGGCTGTAGGATCTATAGTTGCTTATCTAAGACTGGAATACTGGAGGGCTGATTCTGCTGTTTTCAGGGCTGTCTCATTAACGTGCTTCTTATTTTGTCTAATGTTTTGAGCTAAAATATTGAATGATCTTTGAATCTTTTGGTCTTGACCTTTTCAAAGGCAGAGTAATATGAATTTATTATTTTAGCTTACCTTATTTTATATTACCCTTGCTTTCTAATAGCTTGAAGAGTTGGTTTATATTAACGAGTTAAAATTTTTTTCCCTCATTCAGCAATATATTATGTTGCATGACATGGTGGCAGCTCACAGTACTGTGAGAGTTTCAGTTTGCAGAGTAAATGAAGGTAAGTAAGTACTTCAGTTTACTCTTGGAAAAGTAAATTTAAAAAGATTTCCACTAATCCCTAATGTGTGAAGCAAGCCCAATATATTATACATATACACTTATTTCCATAAGAAATAAAAATGTGTGTTTGGATTTATACTCATGTTTCTGTATCAAATTCTTTCATTTATGTGAAATTGTATTTTTCTTTTTCTATAATGTGACACATACTATACTAGGCTCTTGGGATACAGTGGATGGACATAGTCCTTGCCATCACTGAACTTCAGTCTAGTTGGAAAGACATGATAAACAGAAAGAGTAAAGTGTGATAAATGCTATGATAGGGAGAAGTCAGGGTTAGATAGTAGAGCTCATTTACTGTAGGTGTCAGGGGTGCCTTCTTTGAAAAAATATTCTTAAGTGATTGAATTAGACAGATAAAAAGTAGGTGAGAAAGTGGTAAGGTGGGGGTGAGAGAGGGATAGAGGAGGGTTCTAAGTGCCCAGAGGCCTGGGTATTAGAGAGAGTTTTGTCATTGTAATAACTGAAAGAAATTCAGTGTGGCAGAGGCAGCAACTAGATAGTGGACAGCCTTTTAAGGCTTGTTAAGGGATTTGGACTCTCCCAGAAGGCAGTGGAAAGCCATTGAAGAGTTTTAAGTAGGAGAGTGATATGATCATATTTGCCTATTTGAAAAAATCATTCTGGCTGCCATGTTCGAACTTATTTAGAGGGGATTAATATTAAAGGCATGAAATGAATCAGGGTGAGGGTTGTGGAGATGGAGAGTGGTGAGATGGGTTTGAAAGATACTTAAATGTGGGCGTTGAAGATTGGATGATTCATTGGGATGCAAGGTGATACAGTGGTGTCAGGCTGGGGGCATGGATGTTGGTGTCATTTAATTAAATAGGGAACACTGGAGGAGAAGCAGGATTGTAGGGAAGGATAATGTTTTGGACACGTTAGTTTGGTGAGATATTGAAGAGGTAAAGGAGATAAAGGGGAGGCAGCACAGCGTCATGGGCCTTGGAGACAGTAGCCGCTTTGATTGATCAGGAAAACCAAATCAGTCTGCATTCTCTTGGCTCAGTATACTACATCCAGGTGTAAACCCAAGTTGGCCTGGCAGGTTGCTTTCTTCCTTGTGCTTCCCGGTCACTTGCTCGAGTACTAGCTGATAGTTTCTGCCTCCCTAGCTGCAGTCTTAGATGTGTAGCTTATTGGTGCTCCTCCTCTCCCCACTCTGCCGCTGCCGAAGATCCTGGGGATGCTAGGACAGATGCACTGCTCAGTGTTTAGCTTCCTTATCCCCTTTGTATAGGCCAACAGATCACTGATATTTAGTTTCTCAGTGCACCTAAGAGGGTTAGAATTTCACGTGGCATTAAGGCATTGAGTCACGTTTTTAAAATAAGGGATCTTATTAAGAAATGAAGATTATTATACTTACTACATGCAAAATAGCATCAGAATTCTTTAAGTGTTTTCCTCATAGCTTAGTAAACTACTTCTACTTTTTTTTAGAGAGGGAAGAGTATTTGTCCTGCAGACTGACATCACAAACAGTAGTTTCCTCCTCGCCCACCTTTGCTTAGAAACTAGTGTAAGTCTCTTCTAAGCATAGTTTAATAAAATCTAGGGGTAGGGGAAGAGAGAGAGAATGCCCAAATATAAGGCCACCTTTTACTTGGGAAGATCATTAAAGAAATGTTGAACTAACTTGAATATAATACATAAATTTCTAAGGAAATAATGAACTAGGTATGACAAAGTTTAATTTATTTTATAAATTGATTTAAAATAATATCTAAGATATTTTGGGACTATTTTAGGAATATTGAGAAAACAATGAGACATTATGGATTCTAAATAGTAGCAACGAGAAAAAGAATGCTGTTAAATAAGAAAGTGCTAAAATTTCAATGCTTTTATCTGTTTCCAAGGGATTACAGAAATCTGAGTTTATTTACCTGTTGCAGGGGGTCTCCTGTGTGGATTCATCATGTGTTTATTCATAGGGCTGATAGCTAAGATTGAGCATCCGCCATTGTAATGAGTGTTGAAGCCCACCTACCTGTTAGCTTAGAGGGGACTTGGCATCAACTCTGTGCAGTTGGCGTCCTATCCAGGGACAAACTAGCTGACACATTTAGACACCATGCTTTGTTAGCTTAAGGAATAATAATCGTATTTGTCAAAACTCTTCATCTGTTGGGATTTTTCTATTTAACTCCATTATATTTTTAATGTATTTTTGAGATCAGGTGACCTTTGGATAGATCTTTTGTCTGCTGTATTCTTATTCCAAGTTAAAGAATATTCTTTTCAGACTTTTCTTTCTTTAAATTCAGAAATCGAAGAGATCTTTTCTACAGATCTTGTGCCAGGAGATGTCATGGTCATTCCGTTAAATGGGACAGTCATGCCTTGTGATGCAGTACTTATTAATGGTACTTGTATTGTAAATGAAAGCATGTTAACAGGTAAACTAAATTAAATGAGTAAAACCCAGATGAGTTGTTTATAATGATACTAGGATTAAGTAGTTGCTGCTTAAGCTATGTCACAATTAACTGTGCTGTCTGTGTCCTTTACTCATGAATGTCGTGAATGTGATAGATATTTGTGAAAAGATTTTCTTTTTTTATTTTGAGGGAACCAAATTCTGCATTATACTCAGCTGTGATACTAAAGCACAATGCTGTTGTTCACGATACCTTGTCCTTCTTCTGTCCACTCTTTTGACATGAGGAAATGCTTTATAGTAAGGGAAGAGGAAAGAAATCCTTTGCCCACAGCATATTTACTTCTCACTTTGATGTTCAAAAAGTGGGACTAGAAGAGTTGATATTTTTATTAAATTGGGGAGAAATAGACTTCAAAATAGCTTCCCTTTGGAAACTCACAATCTGGAAGTAGAGCTTTATATCTATTTATTTTTTATTTAATTTAATTTAATTAAAAAAATTTTTTTTCTTTGAACATTTTTTTAAACATCTTTATTGGAGTATAATTGCTTTACATTGTGTGTTAGTTGCTGCATAACAAAGTGAATCAGCTATGTGTATATATCTTTTTATCATGACTATTTTTTAATTGTCATAGTCAACCTGGCAAGAAAGTGATTCCTATATAATACATTTTTGAACTGTTAAGAGTCTTAAAACACACTCATACACATAAGTATCTCCACACACATGTCACCTTTGACATAAGAAGTGTGAATGCTACAGAGCACTACATTTTAATGTTAAAAGAATTTGGCTCTTTTTTACTGTTAGAGAATTACCATACTCCTCTGCCTTGCTCGGATGCTTGTTCTCTTTTTTGTGTGTGTGTGTGTGTGTGTGTGTGTGTGTGTGTGTGTGTGTGTGTGTGTGTGTGTGTGTGTGTGGGGTCGGGGAGTGGGGTGGGATTAGGAGTGGATCTTCACATTTTGTGTGTGCTTGGGGTTGCAGAGTGCTTCCCAGGTTAGTTCTCAGGGATACCAAAACAGGTGCTGAGGCGACGGTAGCAACCTCATCTTCTTATTTGAAACTTGGCACAGTTATTTCCGGCTGATTACCTTTGAGTCACAGATCACTTTCAGGAATTATTGTGGAAGACAATTTGATATTTCTGGGTAAGGAAATTGATAGACCAAAAGCTAATTGATCAAGCTATGTTATTCACATGTGAGAACTGTTAATAACTGTTGTCAACAGTATAACATTTAGGATATTTAACAACTCAAGATTTGCGTGTTTGATACTGATTTCTATGCTTTAACTAACGGATTTTTTTTTTAAAGGAGAGAGTGTTCCAGTGACAAAGACTAATTTGCCAAATCCTTCAGTGGACGTAAAAGGAATGGGAGATGAATTATATAGTCCAGAAACACATAGACGACACACTTTGTTTTGTGGGACAACTGTTATTCAAACTCGTTTCTACACTGGAGAACTTGTCAAAGCCATAGTAGTTAGAACAGGTAGAAAATATTTAATCTTGTCTTGCATGGTTTAGCATATTTGAAGCCTATCGAATGCTTAATAAGAGATTCTGTTTTGAGAGAGAATTCTCATTTTCTTATAAAAATACTATATAATCATCTTCTTCTTTTAATTTTTTTGAAAGGATTTAGTACTTCCAAAGGACAGCTTGTCCGCTCCATATTGTATCCCAAACCAACTGATTTTAAACTCTACAGAGATGCCTACTTATTTCTACTGTGTCTTGTGGCGGTGGCTGGCATTGGGTTTATCTACACTATTATCAATAGCATTTTAAATGAGGTATGTACATGGGACCCTTAATAGAGTTTGATTCTTAGTTTGATTCACATGTGGCTCTTGAAGATTTGAAATGTAGCTAGTGAGACTGAAAAATTAAAATTTTAATTTAATTTAAATTAATTTAACTTAAAAAAAAAGCCATATGAGACTTGTAGCTATTATGTTAGAAGGTACAGATCTAGAACATCACCATCAAAGCAGAAAGTTTTGATCAGCTCTGGTTTAGATGATCTTTTATTTGCTCTCTAGTTACTTTAAAAAAAGGAGGAGTGGGCTTCCCTGGTGGCGCAGTGCTTGAGAGTCCGCCTGCCGATGCAGGAGACGCGGGTTCGTGCCCCGTTTCGGGAAGATCCCACATGCCGCGGAGCGGCTGGGCCCGTGAGCCATGGCCACTGAGCCTGCGCGTCCGGAGCCTGTGCTCCGCAAATGGGAGAGGCCACAACAGTGAGAGGCCCGCATAACGCAAGGAAAAAAAAAAAAAAAAAAAAAAAAGGAGGAGTGATCCCGTACTCACCAAAAGCTTTATTTTTTCTTTTTTTTAACCTCTGGTATATACAGCATTAAAATTATTTGTGATTACTGAATTGAAGGTATTTCTAAGGGACCTTGTCAGATTTCTTTTTTCTCTCCCCTATAGAGACGAGCATAGTAGTAAGAGTCAATATCTGATAATATTTGTTGACTTTGAAGTATGTAGTGTATGAAGTATGTGGGGTTATTAAAGTAAGAATTAGCTTTAAAAATAGCTCATTCCCACAGTCCACTGACAATTCATTGAGCTTTCCATTTTGCAGAATCTTTAAAGGGAAAAAAATTATAGATAGTTAATACATGAATATACATACACACTTATTACATATAAGGTTAAAAATGGTTTATAGACTTTTCACTAAAGAAATACCCCCATTGGGTTAATAAATATTTAATACTGGGGGTCTGACATTTATTTTTATGTTAACTGTAGGTAGAAGTTGGGGATATAATAATCGAGTCTCTTGATATCATTACAATTACTGTGCCGCCTGCACTTCCTGCCGCAATGACTGCTGGCATTGTGTATGCCCAAAGAAGACTGAAAAAAGTGGGCATTTTCTGTATCAGTCCCCAAAGGATAAACATCTGTGGACAACTGAATCTTGTTTGCTTTGACAAGGTTGGTTCAATATCATAATCACTGTCAAAGGTCACTTTGTAAGTCTAAAGTATTTAGATTAATGGTTTCTGTATTCTTTATCAACTAATTTGCACACGTTTTAAAAGAAATGTTCTTCTCATTTTTCTCTTGTAACTTATTTGGCACATGCATCATTTTTGTATTATTTCTTCTCATTATTTTTTCAATTTTTAATACTTTGGATATTGCTTATTTGCCCAAATCTACAATTGACTGACCATTCATATCCAGAATTATGCCTTATAGTAGTAGTAGTAAAATTTATCCTCTCTTTCATCTTTTTAACAGAATAGGCTCTCTACAGATATAGTTACTGGAATGTTATTGCTGTAAAGTATATACATTTAGTGTTTGCTCTATGATTTCATTGAATGTGTTACAAAATTATGAAAGACACTGATTATATGATTTTATGTGAAAATGACAAATTTTGTACCTGTGTGAAATATACCTTGCCTCTTACAAAGGGTTCTTCTTTTCTCACCTGAAATTAGTTTTCCTAAAAGTTTAGAGAATTAAACCTTGGTCAGAAAACTTTCCATCTGTCTCTTCTGGGTGACTAATATGATAAGAATTTGATTTTTGTGCATCTTCATTATTAAAGAAAAAAAAATGAGATGTATTTTATTAAGAGAAAAAAAAAGTCATATCCCATGACTGTGTTTTATATGAATCTGTTCAGAAAATTTTACTTAAAATTTTGCTTAATCTTTTTTGGAAATGTTTTTAAAATTTTTAAGCAGACACAAAAGTGGAGAAAAAGATGCAAGAATAATAAAACCTCATCTGCCCATTATCCAACTTAAAACAGTTACCAACATTTTGTCAGTCTTATTTCACTATCCCCTCATTTTGAAGGTGGCAGCATCAGACATTATGTTATTTCATCCATATACTTTGGTATGTAGCTCTAGAAGATAATGTTTTAACAGAACTTTTCACAGTACCATTATCACTGCTTACTACACTTAAAAAAATTAACAGTTCCTTAGTGTTACCTAATATCCAATTCATATTCAGGTTTCTCTGCCTTTCTCAAAAATATCTCAAATTTTTACAATTTGTGTTTTCAGTCAGAATCCAAATAAGGATTGCATTAGTTATAATTAATCTGTTGCTTTTCTTGCCTCTCTTTCCCAGTCGTCTTATTGAGGAAACCAGGTTATTTATATCCTGAATTTGCCTGACTGCACCTCTTTATGTCATTTAACTTGTTCCTCTTCCCTTTTTTGGCTCCCTATGCCCTAATCTCCCCCTCTTGTGTTGGCTTCCTTTATTGATTGATAGGTTGATTGGTGCATTGTTCCACCATTTAATACTATAAGTACATAAGTATACTATTCTACACATATCTCCCCCTACCCCGCCCCACCCACGAAGAGGAACCATACCATAGGGAGTGTTCTGCACACTTTTCCTCACTTTTTGTCCTGCAAGTTAGTCTATTAGTACACACACAGAGATCTTACTTATCCCCCTCCCCATCTTATAGCTGTATTGTACTCCATTATGTAGATGCAGCATAGCTTTTCATGATTTTGTAAATGTGAGCTTTTTTTTTTTTTTTAAGACTGGAACTCTTACTGAAGATGGTTTAGATCTTTGGGGGATTCAACGAGTGGAAAATACACGGTAATTATTAGCTAGACTTGATCATTTATTTTAGTTAATTTTAATAAATATTTTAATAAATGAAATATTCAAACATATAGAAAGTAATATTATAGCTATGTACCCACCACTAAGATTATACAGTTGACATTTTGCCATATTTGCTTCAGATCTTCTGAAAGATTGAAAACATTACAGATATTGCTAAAGTCTTAACCTATCCCTTTTTCTATCCATACCACCATTTTGAAGTTGTGTTGTTATCTTTGCATGTTTTTATATTTTTACTTCATATATATCTACCCATAAACAAGATCTGTCTATAAATAAATATACACAACAGTTATGTACTGTATGTGTTTTGCTGCTTTTTTGCCTCATAACATTGTTTTCAAGATTCATCCATGTTGATATGTATAGATCCAATTTATTAATCTTAACTGTTGTTTAGTATGCTGTTATGTGATTAAACCATAATATTTGTTCTTCAGCTAAGGGACAGTTTCATTTTTTCTCCCTTTTTCCTTCCACTTTCACAAACAGTGTCGCAATTAAAATTCTTAGGCACACAACTTCTGTGAGCATGTGGTTGAGTTTCAGTAAACCAGCTTCTTAAAAGTTTCATTGCTGGGTCATACCGCACATGCATGGCCACAGCTCTAGTAGGTACCGTCTACTTGCTCTCTAAGTGATGGTGCTAACCTACACTTTCTCCCCCAGTAGGTAAGAGACCCTGCTGCTCCATATCCTTGCTAAACTTGCCATTGTCAGACTTCTAATTTTCCCAAATGGATAGATATGAAATGGTATTTCATTGTGGCTTTGTTCAGAGTTTCTTTGTTTGGAGTTTGAGCGTATTTTCACATTTTTGGAAGGAGGGTCATTTGGCATTCTCTGTATTGTCAGTTTATGTCCTAATTTTTTTAATGGTGTTGTTTGTCTTTATCTTATTCACTTGGTTGAAGTCCTTTGTATTTTCTGGGTGATCATCTTTTTCAGTACTATACATTAAAAATATTTCACCAGTCTCTGTTTCATCTTTTTGCTTTGTTTTTGCTGTCTTTGATGCTTAAAAGTTTTACTACTATAGCTGTGTTTATGCCACTTTTTATTTTTTCTCTGTCAAAAGTCTGTGGGATTTTGGTTTATACAGTCTGAGAGACTGTTGTTTGGTTCATGTCATGTCAGAGCTGTCACATCTTCTTGGTAAACAGCGTGTCACATTGTGACCTTACTTATCCCTAATGATGCATCTTGCCTTAAATTCTGTTTCATCTAATATTTGTATAGTTTTACACCAGCTTGCTCTTGCCTAATGTTTGCCTCGTATATCTTTTTTCTGTCTCTTTACTTTTCAATCTTTACGTTCACATTTATTGCCATCGTGTTCACATTTATTGTGATTTCAGATATATTTGAAATTATTTCTACCATCCCTCACCCCAATTCCCAAACACATTTTCTCATACTTCTCTCATTTTCTCAGAATTTATACATCCTAATCTTTTACTACTTGTCCTTAAGTTATTAATATTCATATTTAGAGTCTAAAGTCCATGGGTGTCTTTATTAGTTTCTAAACCCCGCCAAAACCCATGCACTGTACACTACTTTTACTTTCACCTCCCTTTTTATATGAATTTGTTGCATAACATTTTATGATTATGATTTTGGTTTTATACAGTCTGCATGCAAGGATTTACCTAGGTTTACGGGTATCTTTGCTAATCATTGCTTCTTGTATCCCATTCCTCTGGATTAAATTGCCATCTTCTGTAACTATATTCATTAGTAGTTCTTTGTTTCGTTCTCTTTCGTGAATGATGGTGTAACTGTATAGATTCCTAGGTTGACAGCTGTGTTCCTTCAGCACCTTGGAGGTGTTATTCCATTTCTCCTAACTTCTTTTGTTATTGCTATTGAGAAGTCTTAGTCTTCTTTAGTAATTTTTCTTTCTACTTTGTTTAAAAAAATACTTCTTTATGCTTGATTTCTGCAATTTTACCATGATCTTTTTCTTTGTGCGGTACTCATTTTGCTTCTTGATTCCAAAGATTCATGCTTTTCCTAAATTCTGGAAAATTTGCAGCCTCTTTTCTGTTCCATTATGGCTTTTCCCCCATTCTTTGTTTTCTCTCCATCTGGGAATCCTAACCATACCCTGGACAAGAAATTTCATTTGGTTCTTTCCAAATCTGCTTCTCCCCTTTTCCCCGCCATGGTGTCTTGTTCTTTTTCTAAGTCTGTAATTTTAAAATGCCTTCTTTGCATTCTTTCAGATTGCCATTCTATTATCTCAGGTTTATGGGATTCTAATTCTGTCTTTGTTTTGTCTGTTCAGTCGTGAGAATTGTTTCCTGGTTCATTTTTAAATTATGGACTCATCCTTAGCAGGATTTTTCTGTGAGTCTCCTTTGTGGCTGTGTTGTAGGAGCTCCTCTCTAGAGAGTTTAGACTTTGGCCAAAAGTAGTGTCAGTGGTGCCAGACAAGCTGTAATGTTACTTTCATAACTTGGGGATTTCTAGGCCAGGCAGTAACATATATTCAAGCCCAAATGCCATCCTGAGTAGCGTAATGGTTTAGAGTTTAGGTACTGACACCAGACCTCTTGTGTTTGAATCCTTGCTTTGCCACTTATATGCTGTGACTTGGCAAGTCACTTAAGCACTCTGCTTCGGTTTTCTCATCTATAAAATGGGGATAATAAAACACCTTCCTGTGGTATAAGGATGAGAGGAGTCAAATAAATTTAAAGTTCTCAGAACAGTGCCTAATGCATAGTAAATATGTTATATAGATAGTAACTATTTTCTTGAACTTTCGGTGGGGGAAAAGAGGTAAGCTTATTCTTAGTTATGCCTTTGTGGGTAAATTTTTTCTAGTATACTCTTTTTCCAAGGGTGTAGCTCTTCAAGAGCACTGGCTATCTTAGGTGAGGGGGATTCTCTCTGTTCCAACTCCCCACTTTGTATGTGGCCCCACCTTTTCTCCTGTTCCCCGTGTGGTTATTAAAACTCAAGGCCTTAAGGGTAGTGAGATGGCTCTCCTCCCTCTTCCTTCTCCCCCAGACAGTCACAGCATCTGTTTAAGATCACACCCCTCTGGTTTTCCTTTCCCTGTTTCTGGCACTTGAAATTTTCCTTTTCTTTCTTATGAGCCCAGTTTTGCATTTGAAAGGTAATGCGTTACACATCCATTTTATGTTTTTACAAGAGAGTTTTTATGTGTTCTAATTTGCCATGTGTCCGTAGGCAGGAGTTTTAATTATTTTTTAGTATGTAGCATTTTCTATACTGTTAATGTCTGGTCTAGTTATTCAGAATCTAAGGTAATAGTGTATTTTAGTCATGTATAATAATTTTCATGGAAGAAAATGTTTTTGAACGTCAAAATCTATAGTGAAAATTTAATACATGCATAAATGCAAACATTTTCTTTCTACTTTTTAAAATAATAAAACCTGAAAAGTCCTGTTAGACTCTTGTCTTCAGTCTTGGGATTTATGAATCTAATTCAGTGCATTTTCTATATAGTTTTCTTTTGCCAGAAGAAAAGGTTTGCAATGACATGTTGGTAAAGTCTCAGTTTGTCGCTTGTATGGCTACTTGTCATTCACTTACAAAAATCGAAGGAGTGCTTTCTGGCGATCCACTTGATTTGAAGATGTTTGAAGCCATCGGATGGGTAAGTTCGGTGTTTTAAAGTACAATTAATTAACTTTAGGAAAATAGTAAAAATTAACTTGCAGAGAATTGTTTCTTCACGTTGTTTTGACAATGGTCTATCTTGTACCATAAAAGGAACTATGTAATTTCTTTTTTATTTATTTATATTTTAAAAAATTTATTTATTTTGGCTGCATTGGGTCTTCGTTGCGGCGAGCAGGGGCCACTCTTCATTGCAGTGTGCGGGCTTCTCACTGCGGCGACTTCTCTTGTTGCAGAGCACAGGCTCCAGGCACGTGGGCTTCAGTAGTTGTGGCTTGTGGGCTCCACAGCGCAGGCTCAGTAGTTGTGGCTCACGGGCTTAGTTGCTCCATGGCATGTGGGATCTTCCCGGACCAGGGATAGAACCCGTTTCCCCTGCATTGGCAGGCAGATTCCCATCCACTGCGCCACCAGGGAAGCCCTGTAATTTCTAAAGATACATCACTGGAGAGATATTTATAATTGTCTAAAAAGTCTGTTTTAGTTAAATTGACTCATTCAAACGACCTTTAATAGAGGATGACCTGCTCAGGGCCCTGCTTCATGTTTACACGAGAAAGCAGGTATCAGTATCTTGAGGCAGTAGGTCTAAGACGGTAAGAAGATCTCAGTGACACAGTTCGTTGGGCATAGGGCAGAAGTATAGAGTGGGCATGTGTCTTCAGTGCTCTTTTGTCCCCATCCATGTACTACTTCCTGTGTCCTTACTCTCACACGCGCACACACGCATGCGCAGAGGTTTCTGTCTGTTCACTTCTTTCTGTTTGTTTTGTCCTTGATTATTTTAATTTCTGGGTGCTCGCTTGTGTTCTCTGGTTTGTTTTATCTGTTCTTCTTTTATAGATGTAATAATAGTTTGTTTTTAAAGTTCCTTTCTTGCTTCTGAATTTTTAATTTTCTCTGGGTCAGGTTTTCTTCCCCTGCTTCCTATATTAATCTTCTCCTTTATGCTTTTAGAAAAAATTGAGGTGTCATTGACATCTCCTTCATGCTTTTGGTTTTCATTATGCATCTTGATGGTACTTTTATATTTAAGAATGAAGGTCTGATTTGATAGTTCTGGGTAGCTGCAACAAGGTTTTCATCCTTGTTCATATGTATGCTGGTCTGTTTGCCTGAGAAGTGTCTTCCCTGAATGGGAAGGCTGACTGGGGGAGCCTGTTGTGTACTGAGGGTGGGGCCCCTTCAGCAGGCATTCTTCAGTTTCAGGGGAGCAGAAGTAGTCTTGAGGTTGCTTTCCCCACCCACTCCCCCAATGCTTTCACACTCAGTACTCTGGAATGCTGCCCCTCATATTAGCAGCCCTTCCTCCTCTCAGGTAGGTAGTTCGTATTTGTAGAGCATGACTCCTGGGCTTTTTGGGTTTTTTTTTGTTTGTTTCTTTTTGCTTTGCTCAGCTATTCTGGCTGATAAATGTTCCCACCTCTCCTGTATGTCCTTTTGTGTTTATTCTGGGCTACTATTTCCTTCATTGCTATATCCATCAATATGTTTCAGTCTCCTTGCTTTGCTTTCCGTTTAGTTTTACAGGGTTATTTCTTTTTTTGTGTTTTGTTAGTATTTTGAAAGGGAGGGAGATGAATGAAGAAGTACTCTGCCACTTTCTGAAAGCCCACAATAAATACTCATTAAATTTAATTCCTTAAAGGAGACCCACTTCATTTATAAGGAGTAGAACAAAGTACAGCTGATTCATCTCTGATATTCTCTAAAGCTGTTCTCCAACTAAATAGATTTTCAGTAGATTTTTTGTTCTGTATGTGAATCTTTTAAAAAGTGGGTTTAAATAAGTAAGTTTGTATAATAGCATGCTTTTTTGACTCTCAGATGCTTTGATGCTTGATCTTACCACAGAGTATCTATGGAATGTTTTTACATAACTGGGCACTACTATTATTTTATGTGATTAATACCATGTAAGGTGTTAAAATGTTTCTTAAGAACTGTGTAAATTGGACACAG